AAAAAAACTAAAAAAGTAAAAATTCATGCTTGAATGAAGTTTTCTATTGAAGAGTTCAAAATGGCGATGAGAATAAGTTGTTATTACGCGACACATCATTTGTACCATGCCTTCCAGAGTATCCTCGCGAAAGATATGCGTGTTGCACACATACGCCCCATTTTCTACTAGGCTTTACTGGTACTATGACTAAGCGGATGCGGAGGAACCTTTATCCGAGAGTGCAAGCCACAATACTGAAAGCTGTACGACTGTCACAACTATATATAGCTGCCTTGTTCACATAAACAAATGGGATATTGTATCATATCATTAGCACATCATTCTTCAACAACTAGAAATTAGGAGATAAAGGACCGCATGTCACCATGCGTCGTGTGCAGGCTCACATATCAAATTAAGAATAAGTCAAAGTTATTTACAGGATGAAGAAGTACTCCAGTATTTAATCACGGCTTTCGTAACATCACTACAACTTCACTTCGTGTAAATCGCCCGAAATTTTTAGTATGATCGAGTGTGTGATATCATGAAAATTGTGAAATCAAGACTAGAATACATTTTGAAAAGAAATTGTGCATTCAAAAGACTACAGCGACTCCCAAAGGCTGCAGCTATTTATAAACAACTGAAGCATTCACACCAAAGTAAATGTCACTTTAGAAAAAGGCAAATGACCGATATCACCGAGACTCTGAAGACTGACCCTGCCCGAGGGAAAAATGACAAGCCATGTGATGCTGCAGTTTCCTAATGACATGCGAAGCCAACCTTCTGGAGGAAACTGCAGAGCTCTGTAAATTACGACTAAATTAGTATGTCGCACTCGAGGTGTGAGAGCCACCTACCGACAGACGAAGTAGCGAATGACATTCGAATGACAAACGTATAGTTCGTAAGAATCTTCTTTCTGTGAGGAATCAGCGCGGTGTATATGCCTACGGAATGCGGACTCAATTCTCAGTCCTTCCGCAAAGAAATCCTCAAAGTGAATCACGAACATGTAGTTATGTAATTAAGGCGATTGGAACTGACTGCATACTCCGGGTTCCAGTAATCTACAGCTGGAACTGGGGGATAGGGAGGACCTTCTTCCAGTAATGGACAGCTCGAACTTGAAGAAAGTAAAGGTCTAATCGAAACGTCAGAGAACAACTGCAACCTCTTCAGTGCTGGTGGTAGATGTTCCAAAATGATCTCAGCTGTTTCTCTGGCTCTTATCATAGTAGACATCACGAGTTCATCAAAGCTGATACCACACTGAGCCAAACGTTTGCCAAGAAGTGCGGCTTGCTCGCGCCCTAGGCCCAAGTATCATCAAAATTATTCACCTTCCCTCGTCTCCCAAATTCGGTAGAAAAACCGCATTTGGAAGACGAGGGAAGGTGAATGATTTTGAAGATAAAAAACCGTTTTGCTAGCCATTCTTTGATGTTATTTAGCCTCCGCTAATTTCGAATGTAAATGTCATCGCAATATCAACTGCAGATGTCTGACTGACTGATAAGCCATGCCTGCATTCAGTCGAAGGCAACGTCCAACCAAATTTCTTCCCATGGTTTAGCCATTCTTGAATCCTTTCAAGACTCTATTTTGGAATACGAGGTATAGCATGAGTGATAATCCCAAAGTCTCCCCACCACCCCTC